TATTTATATCTATAAAATAGGTTTTTTTCCTCTAAATTATGTTTTTTATAATTTATTGGCAATTTTGTTGTCTTTCTAACCTTGCTTAATGTACATTTCTTCAGAAACTATTTACAAAAGTCAGAGTGACCAGATGTTTGTAGTGTGGTTAAGATAATAATGGAACTGAGTAAACTTGTCTTGAGACTTTTGGATGTATGAAAATGTTTTTTTCTTTCTCAAAAGTGAGAAGAATAACTGCCATGAGGACACTCGGCCAACAAAATTACTAGAAAAAAAATCAGAAGTGTGAATAGTAGTATAAAACATTTGAGGTGAATTAAGAGTGTTAGATGAGATTCAAAAACTGATTGTTGGTGTGTGTCCCTCATGAGACAACTTTAATCTCAAATTTAACGTTGTTGGCCGTAACATAAATTATATCATTAACCTTATATATGCAGTAAATGTGTCCACGTTTCTTTATATGTGTTTGCTGCTATTTGTGTATATATTACCTAAAATTGAGGTATGCACAACTCTAAAAAAACACTTCAGAAACTGTTCCTGACTGCAAGTTTTAATGCTCAAATAACTTATAAAATGTATGTAACATATGGCTTATGAAGAAATGTGGCTACCAACTAGGAAAAGAATTTTGGAATAATACTTATTCAGTAGAATAAATTTAAAGTCAGCTCACAAAACTTTTATAGCATACTGCAGTTTTAAATATACAGCACAGATATTGATGAGGGGAGTTGATTTGAGTAGGTTTGTTCTGGAATATACCACATACAAGATAATTTCTCTTGTCCTTAAAGGAGCACACTGTATTCCCCATAGGGCTGAAACATTTAACATTTCTCTGTATTTTTTTTCCAAGGAAGATATCTTGCAAAGACACAAATAAATTTGAAACTTTATCAGACTAGACTCTACTGGTCCTGCAAATGCTGATAAATACACAGTTGTTAGAACTAAGTGTAGAAGCTTCTGCTCTTCTCTCATTCTTTAGATTCCCACTGTTGTCTGTTGTTCAAAATTATTTCACTTACTCCTGTTATCATACCTATTTTTTAAGCTCCCCCTATTTCCACTCTATAATGGGAATAGTGTCACTACACTATTCTGTATTTAGGTAATCATCAATATTTGTTTTTCTTCTTTTTATATTAGTTTTAACCATTCTGTGTTTTCCGTTACACTTATTTACTACATGTTTACACATTTACTATCATATCAGAAAACATAAGCATATATTGTAGTATCTATTTAAATATTCTCAGAGGGTAGGAGCTTTCAAATTGATTGTCAAGAGACAAATTAAGCTCAATAAAGTTTTTTGGTCAGATATCAGATGCAATTCTAAATTATGCCTTAGGAAAAACAAACTCAAAATCCACAAGATATCCTTTGAGGTACTTTCCTGGAAGATCTCTAAACACTGCAGTTTTGCTTCTTTACATGCCCAGAATAAATAAAGGCCCAGGCCCAGTAAAAGAATACCTGGATTTGCAATAACATACAACCTGAAACTGGGATTTCAGTCCTACAGAATATAATTTGAGCAATGTTTGCTCAAACTCCTGGAGACAAAAGTTTTCCAAAGGACACTGAAGGAGAAAAGATGAGATAAGGACGCAGAGTAGAAAAAGAATATGTAACAGACCAACACACCTCAGAAATCTCAGTCAGATACAAAGCTTTGTTATTTTAGGGTGTTTACATACATGAATATTCACTCCAGCTTCCTTCAAAAGCAGAAGTTTCCTATCTGGCCAGTTACCTGGATATGGGGTTTTTTTTGTATGCAGTAACTTCAGGAGACCTTGGTAAATATATTCTTTAAGGATGCCCCTGTGGCTGTGTATTGCATGGCCATAAATATAGTTCCAGGTATTCCCTTTGCAAACCACAGGGATGGAGCCATTACTTGGCAAGACTGTGGATACAGTGAATGAAACACATTCCAGTGATGGAGCACATTTCTCATAGTATTTATCTATTAAAGGGATTAGTGAGGTACATGATCCCTGCATGGCTATTGCTAGGACTTTGTAGCTTCAGCAAACTCGGAATTCCCTTAAAAATTTTGGGACCAGAAAGAAACACAGAGAAGTTCTTCCTTCCTTTTCCCTTATATCTCATGTTACAGATGGTTGGCAGCCAAGATGCTGAGGTCCTAAATAAACGAGATTTAGGGAAGGAAACAGAAAAATTAATTCCTGGGTTAAGCTAATCTCAGAAAGTGCTTTGGAAAGAAGCTTGAAATGGATTTGTAAAGACAATTATTTTCAAGAATATTTTATAGAAAGAATCAGCTTTGATGCCTTGGCAGATATTCTTGCAGAATGGAAGACGTGGTTAATGGTAAGGCATAGCAACAAAAACTCCCCACAGAATTAATCTGTGGTCCTACAGAAATAATCAACACCAAATTAAATTCCTATAATGGAATAAGCGTGCAAACAAATGATCTGAGAGTATCTGACGCTATTCAAGTTAAAATGCTTCATTTCATTATATTCCCAGTCCCAGGTAATTGAAGTACATTGAGAATATCTGACCTATCATGAATGATCCAACATAATAAAGTAACTCAAACTATTCCATGACAATATTTAACACTCTCAAGACATAACTCTAACACTTGATACAGCAATTCTGATGTTAGCCAGATCTTGTTCAGTGGGATTTTTGCAGTATGCAGAAGTTGTGTCCATGACAATTTACAGGAACTCTGAATGCCTAAGATAAAAGAAAGCTCTCAGTACGCTGCACAACAACCTGATTACCTGGAGATTGAATTATTTTTGTTTGCTTGAAGTCCAGCAGCCCCACTATGCCAGCATTTGCTAGGCAAAAGTACAGAAGGAATGTGTCTGTTCCAGTGGGTCTGAGCAGAATGAAGGATAAATTGGTGTCACCTTGTATATCTTGTGTTCTAGCACTGGAACTCAGAATTTTGCAAGCCACAAGTGTTAAGAAAAAGCTAAAAGGATGATTGGTCAAGTAGATCACAATCCTCAGACATACCTATATTTCCTGCAGGTATGAGTATGGCATGAGAATTTATGCAGGTGCATGACAGTCAACATATCCTGTGTCAGAGGGGCAAAATTCCAATGATATGACAAGATCCTGTATAATCTAAAATTATTTCTAATGGGTAAGTGCTAAAGTAGTAACGGAGTCCTAACATCCCCCCTGACATTATAAAGATTTGATAGCCATGAGATACAATTTTTATCCCTTTATACTTAACTGTATGGAGTCAAAGAAATAATGTGTAAGGAATCAGTTCTCCTTGTATGACAGCCTCTCAATATGGGGATGCTGATGGGTGATTTTTGGAGGTGAACTAATACTTGTGCTGCAGCTTCCATGAACATACTTCATGCTGTGAAATGGACTGAACCCAGGATGGTCCAAAGCGTGCCAGTGTTACACAGACACTCCTTTATTGAGACAGCTTCATAGATGGCAGGTGCAGTGAAGGGCAATAACCACAAATCAGTCCTACTTTTGCAGACATGAAGTAATCCAGTAGGAGTTACCATCCCAAAATTTTTATTTAGGTAGCAGATATTGAAGATGAAGGGCTGTCCACCCTTTTTCCTTGTTACAAAAAAAATACATGTTCTTGTGCAACTGGGATAACAAATTTTATGAGGAAAGATGGGTCCTCCTGACTGGAAATGATGCCACAGGTGGATCCTCCCTGCTGGAAAATGACCATTTCAGAGTGATCTCTATTTACAGGACAAGGAACATTTGAGTGATAAGTGAGTTTGTCATCAGACATACACATTGGTCAATATGAGTACCAAGAATAAAAATAAGAACCTCAATCACTGTTTGATTTACACTATTACTTTCTTCAGAGAATGTATTAGGAAGTATCTAAAAAATAGTCATTCTTATGTAAAAAAAATCTTATTCTGAAAGTGTTAATGTTGTTATTTTTCCTTGCAATATCATATTCACTAATGTTATTTGATAATTTAACAGATTATTTGATTATTCAAGTTCTTTTGATTTCTTTATAGTTCTTTTATGTAGTGCCTGTGGGTTTTATACAGATGCCTACATTTGTACAATGATTTAGGATGGCAATTAAAAGTTTGCTTAATAAAAGAGGAGTTAAGCTTTGGAATAATTACCTAGAATAAATGGGAAATAATAATTTCATTTAAGTTGAAAATTGAACAGTTTATGGAAAAAGGTGGCCAATGTAGTTGCCTACATAATCTAGGGAACTGATCTCGAGCACCTGAGAGGCCCTTTCAGTTTCATGCTCTTCTAAGAGTATAAAATAAATTTTAATCTAGATGCTGGGAAAGAAGAAAGATTTTAAAAGGTGTCTTTTCCATGTTATCTCATTCCCCAGAACATGCTGTAGTTATTTATAAATGTGTAACCACCAGCTGCCTTTTCTCACAGTTTTTTTTCTCTCTCAAAAATACTCTGATAAGCAGCAAACAAGGAACAACCACAGGACTACAGGCATTTGTATGTAGCTATTTATCTTCAAAAGCAGTACAGCAGGGATATATAAAAAACATGAAAAGCAAATTAATAGGATTTCTTATGAACTTTTGGATTTCTTTTTCACTCGCTTTGTATTTTCACATTGGAGAAAGAGAAGAGAAATGCATAATTGAAGATATTCCCAGTGACACCTTGGTAGTTGGTAGGTACCTGTCAATGTTTTATGATGATCTAACCCATGCAATAACAAAGATAACTGGAAATGTAACAGCAATTTCTGTGATTGATGAATATGGTAAAAAACCAGAAAAGGGCACTCTGAAAATAACTCTCTGCAGCAGGGATTAAGTTTAACATCCTCAAATATTGTGTGTATCCAGCACACAAAGAAATGCGGGTTTTCAGAGTGCTTTACTGACTAAACAGGGAAAAATATTTCTTTTTTAATTCTACAGCTGTGGAGCTGTTGCTTCCATGTGTGCTTCTGCATGTTCTGACTGATGTACTCATTCATATCAGAATTTCTGTAACACAGCTTCCCCCATATGAATGGGAGAGTTACTTTTTTTGATAAATGCTGGTCTTAAAAGAGACAATTCACGATGTACTAAAGTTTCATTTCATCTCTGATATCAGAAGCACATTAAATTATTCTACAAGACTATAAATGTAAGATTTCAAGGGGATTGTAAAAAATAATACAAATGAATTCTTTTTTTAAAAATAATATGATAAGTGAAAGACAATCCATAAAACCTAATTGGAGTACAGCACATTATGCTTTTGGAGGTCTCAGTGTGCCTTCTAAAGGCTTATCTTCCCAGAGAATTAGGAGTAATCAGAAAGTTTTTCTTGTTAATTAACCCTTTTTTATAGTACTTTAGAACATTTTCTAGTGTAGTAAAAATTTATTGCATTACACTCTGTTATGAAGTGCCCCTGAGCAATATTAATCATAAACACATGAAACACATATATATTTGTATTTTTCC